CCCCGAGACATTCTACCTGGCCATGGAAGGGGTGCAAGAAAGGGACTGTGGACTCCAGGGCTGGTGCCGGGAACCGGCTCGGGAACAGACGCCCCTGCGCAGGCAGAGCCTGGGGGGTTATTGGTGAGGCCTCCAGGGCACCAGCTAGCGGTGCCAAGTCCGGTTCTGAGGCTGGGCGCTGGGAGAGGGCCCTCAGGGGCTAAGTCACCCCATCTGAGGGTTCTTCCGATAGAATGGTTCCCCGGTTTGTTGAGAAGCGCTCTACGCATGCGGCACTGCCATGTGAGAGGGGCACTGGGTTGTCACCGCCGTTCTCACGGGGAAGAGCGCTTCCCTGCACCTCCACGGGAGGATTTATTTCCCTCCCTTCAGTGGCCAGAGAGGCTGAACCCCACTAGAGCAGCTTCTTTCCTCATAGGTTCACTTGTACCCCAAGAACACTTAGGGAAGTCTAGAGGGTGGTACATTTTCCAAACGTGTGGCAGTCGACGGGGGGACTTGAGAACCCCGACTTCCAGTCTGGGTGTTTTGGGTACTGGTGGAGTGTTAGGTTAACAGTGTGCAAGCAGGAACCGCCCTCCCCCCGCCCCGCTCTCGGCAGCCAAAGGGATCAGAGATTCCCGGGCCCCGGGGGGGTTTTAGCTCCGGGTTAAGATGGCCACAAGCAGTCTCACCTTCCAGGTCAAGGAATGAGGCACAAGATAAACGGAGACAGAAACCAGACGTGAGCTAGAGAGAACCGGTGGACAACACAGGAGATAACTTTATTGAAACGCAAATGGCATCGGAACAGATGAGTCTTGCTGGGAGGAGACATGCCTGATGGTCAGAGGGCCCAGAGGGGGGCTCTTCAGCAGGCCCTGGCATGGATTTGATTTTCAACCAATTTGATATTTAAAACGAATTACTGGGGGGACAGCCTGTCATGATTGTTACCGCAACTATATACATTGCTCTGCTTTCCAGGTTCAGGTTTGCTTTCTCTACCTTAGATACAAAAGGGGGTAGAGTGACAGAGAGGAGGGTCAAATGAGAAAAATCCACAGACATACACATAACCTGGTTTGAGGTTTCCTGCCCAATAAATTAAGAAGTGTTGCAAAAGTTCCTGCCCACCTTCCTCAAGGACCGCCGTGCATTTGAGAAACAGACTCCATCACGTAAACAATGCCGCCTAACACAGGACTGGGTGGGGGGAGGAATCTAGCAGGGGTTGGGATTCATTTTTTAAAAGATTGTTCCGTTATAAAAAGCATTCGGAAGTGGGAGGCCACTGGGCAGCAGCAGCTGGGACTGGCGGGGACGTGGGGGCTCCTGCCTGATGACGGGAAATCTGTCTCAGAGAAACGGCAGGGAAATGTAAGAGCCACAGATGACCCAAGGACCCACCATCGGCCTTCTGGGGACCCAGGGGGTGATGTGAGTGCAACGGTTTTACGCCGCCTTCCTCGGGCGTCAGTCCTTTCTCCAAAGGCTGAGTGCGAGCGCGTTTGTCCTCTATCCACAAGCTTTCACAGGGAAAGCCAACAAACTTAAACCCAAACCAGCTGTAAACAGCCTCATCCGCCAGAGTCTGTGCGTTTGGAAAGATGCAAAGTTCCCCTTTTAAAAGATCTTGTCGCCATGGCTGAGTAGTTCTGAATTCCAGTCCCCGTGAGGAAAGGACAGGGTGGGCCCAGGGACTTAGGTTCCCAGGACCGTCTCTTCATCGTGCTGACTCCCTTGGGGGAGCAGAGCAGGGCGAGAGGGGCCCATCCTGGGATCCCAGCGCCCTCACTTGTTAGCTGCCCTGGGGAAGGAGACCATGGTCAGGTCCTCAGACCCATTCGTGCCCTTTCTAACTCAGATAAGGGAGAGCGATGTTGCCGGGGAGCAAGTTGTCATGGAAACACATATTGGACTTTTTGACCTTTCCCATGCTGTTGTATCAGAGGGCTCAGAGTAGACACAAATGATCCAGCTGAAGAGCCCTCCCACTGTTTTCCTTTGCTGAAGCCCCTTGGTTTGGCAGGGTCCCATTTTCAGAGCCACGAGATTTTTCTCTGAAAGTGGTCTTCTATGAGGAGAGGCTAACACTCCCTTAACACCTCCCCACCAAAGCACACACCCCCTTTCTTCCTGTGCTAGATAAAAACAAGCACGAGGACAGTGACTTTGAAATAAAAGTCTGAATTATAATCTAGGACCTTCTTCTTTTTGGTCTTAAAGATCCTTAGTCTGGGAACTCTGATACTTGGGCTTTCCCTCTAAAACAGTGAATCACAAACTGGAGTGTGCATCTTACCCAGCGGGTTTGTGAGAGCCGACTGCTGGGCGCTACCATGAGAATTCCGGCTTTAACACGTTCCCAGCTGCCGCTGGTCTGGAAACGCATGGAGAGAACCATTGCTCTAAGTGAGAGTTGTTGAATCAAGGAACCAGGGGCCACTTACTCCCATGACTGCTGTTGTCATAGGAAATTCTCCATGGCATGATTGTTACAAAAAATAGCCAAAACACCCACCCAACTGGGAGGGCCCAGTAGACACAGGTTTAATTTTCAACTGCACTCATCTCCCTGTAGCTCCCAAATTTTGATTGGTGTCCTGAGTTTGAAACTCTACCGTCTTCCAGTTTACTTCCTTCTTCCCCAGGGCTAGGCCAAGTGGACACACATGGACCCTGGCAGAGAGAAGAGCCACGCGGGTGGCCCCGTAGGCCCCTGATCAGGTTGACGGAGGGCTCATGAATATATATAAAGCTGATTCCATTAGGAAGGGCAGCATCTTCAGGCTTTGGCCTGTTGGGAACGTACCGTCCCTAAGACCATTTTATTACTAATGGCCACAAGCCAGAACTGGCCAGTAGTCAGTCATCGTAAGAGTGGACCACATTTCTTCATATAACCAACTCCATTAGTAAACCCTCTGCAAAAGCACATTTCATGCCACCACTGGGGTTGGCTTGTAGAGTCTACTTTACTAGCTTCAGCTTAGCTGAGGCCCAGGAGGAAGGAAGGAAAAAAAAATGGTGGAGTAATAGTTGGTGATCTGAGTTAATTCAGCACTTGAACCCAGTATTAAATGTGGGATTAGGACAGAACAAGTAATTCTCCCAAACACAAGGAAGGACCCTAATGTCTCATGCAGGTCTGTCCGTAATCCTGGCTTGTAGGACCAAGTCCCACTTGGCCAGGCAAACCTCCCCATGTGCAGGGCTTCTGTCCATGGTGCTGTCCCAGGTGCTGAGGCGTCGGGAAGAGCGGCCACCACCGCCTCCTTCCTACTGTTGTGGGATACACCACAGGAAGTAGTTACCCCTGAGGCCACGGAAAGGGGGTGTCTCTCTGAATGGTATGAGCCTTGTAGGAGGAAAAGATAGCGATGTTAGGTCCACTTGGAGTCTTGCAAACTAGGAAAGCCAGAAGGCGAGAAATGAAACAAAAAGAAAATCATTCTTTTGTGCCAAGTCCTTGTGGATAGATTGGTCAGAAAGTTGGGAACTCCAGACCAAAGCATGGCCACCAATGAGGACTTCCTTTGCAAACCCTCTCACCTGCCGGCCTCTGGCTTCCCGATGGTTAAGACTCCCTGAAAAAGACGTCAGCATAAGGATTCACACAGAGACAGGTGAGCACCGCAGAGGGCCACAAAGCATAGATTTTAAAAAAAATATTCTGTGAAGCCTCGGGAGACAGGAAACAGCAAACTGCTCTGTGAGACACACGCACACACACACACACAGACACACGGACGTGAGGTCCCAGAGGAGCCTCCGTGACCGAGAATTTTATTGTTAGTGCCTAGGCAGGTTCAAGAAACAAATACACTGGACAGAATGTTGGTCTTCTTCATCTGGAAATGAGAGGGCTGCTGCCGAGGACCGCCTGGAGCTGTGGCTCGCGCGGGGTTGCCGCTGGGCGTGGAACCGAGTCATCTGCTGGCCAACTTTGGTGAGGAATGGAGTCGGGTGCTGGAGAACAAGGGGATAGCACAAACTCCAGTCTCGGGCTGGATTCTCCTGAGGGTGCCTAGGTGTGGAGCATTTAGCTAGGGGACCCAGTTTTTCTTTTTTGAGGGGTCCCAGTAGTCTCCACCCAGAAGCAGGTGTGTGGGTAGGAGAACGCTGTGGATTTGCTCTCGCTGTTTGTTCGATCTAGGGCGGTGCTCAGGTTTTGTTGCAGAGATGTCTGGATGAGCGACCCAAGGGGTTATAGCACCATGAGGAGGCTCAACCTTCGGCAGCTGCCACATGACCGTGATTCCTCGGTGAAATGACTGGCCCCACAACTGTAAACAGGGTCCCAGGCTCCAGGGGGAAGATGAGCTGCTGCACCACCACCTCGTGAGATGGGCGCTTCCTGGCGGAAAGCACCTGGAGGCCTGGGCTAAATGCAGCGATCAAGTGAGAGCAGAGGGAGGGGGTGCATCCCAGGAACAGACGAGAAGCTGGAACAAGAGAGGCCCCCAGAAATCAACCCGCTGAAGCTCCAAGTAAAATGCACGGTGGTATCCATGGCTACCAGGCGGACAAGAATCCCTTTGGGGGTCTGAGGCAGTTGGAATGGAGGAAGGGGCTGTCCCCTTTCCTTTTTGTCAAGTAGCCAGTCACACCGATGACAGAAGGCACTGGCTGCGCAGCACCAGAAAATGCAGAGTTAAGGGCTCAACTACCGGGTGAAGATGGCATTGAGAGTCTGAGCCCTGCCATGGGGCCAGGGCTCGGAAGGGGCCTGGGTTTGAAGGAGGCCCGGCCATCTTCCCTTTCTCGGCGCTGGGGCTGCCTCATTCCACACAGCAGGGACCTTAAGGCAATGATGTCAGCACCATCCTCAGCCAGCCTCTTCCCACCGTATTTTACCGTTGACTTGGGTGGGAGATCTTCACGGCACACGGACAGCAGCCATTGCAGTAACGGCCTCCGTCCGGTGTAAAGGCCCAGCATTCCTGGGCAGAGGCAGAAGCTTGCTCGGGGAACAATCCAGATCATTGTTTGGCCCTAAATGAAAACATTCTGATGTGAGGACTCAGACGCCTGCACCCCGGGTGGGTGGGAGCGCGGTCCTGGTGAGCGTGCCTGTAGACTTGGACAAGGTCTTGTGCCACTCAGGAAGCTGAAGAGCAAACGCGGGGCCCGCTCGTCACACCCCGAGGTGCTGCGTCCGGGATGGGACATGAGCCTCCCCAGGCAGTTCAGAAATGGCAGGAAGGAGACGCCCCCCCGATAAGCAAGAACCCCACCGTCCTCCAGGCCCAGCCTACCGGATTCCAGGCCTTCAGCCCCAAAGGCCTCCCCAGCTGGCTCCGGAGGCTTTGGCTCCATTTCTCAGCTGACCCTGAAGGTCTAGATAACAAGGGGATGTCCTACTACGTGGAGAACGCACGGGCCCAAGTCTTTTTTGAGCTACTTAGTGGAATGAAGGAAGACAGACCACCAGGTCTCCGGGCGGCTTCTACAGAAGGCAGATCCCTGCTGAAGGCACATCTCTGCCACCAAACACATGCCTAGAGCCTCATATTCTGATGGGGACTATGCCACACGGATGTCCGGTCTCTTATATGTGAATTTTCACTTGCCACAAACCAGTAGTAAAGGCCCGCTAGGAGTTGGAATGGAGCCAAGCAAAGTGGCCGCCACCAGAACCGCGCCGTGAGGGCCGACAGGCGGCAGAACTAAGAACGTTTCTCGTTTCCCCATTTTCCTCTAGTCCGTGGTGAAGCTGAGCAGCCCTCTTGTCAAGACGGGGCGACACCCCCCCCCACGAGGCTGGCGGCTGAGCTCCCAGGCGGGATGTGTGCTTTCTCGTAGGGCGGTCACAGTCCCTCTTCTCCCACTATTTCTGAACCAATGTTTCATGTCCCGTACGAGCCCCACAGATGCCAAAGGTAGCAGCATGGAGGGTGCCCAGCTGTGCCAACTGGATGGCGTCAGATTCTCCACAGAAAATCCACTTGGAAAAGCCAAACCAGCCCCTGGAAAAGCAGCCCAAGCATCTCATGAATGTGTGAGGAGATGGGAAAAAAAAAAAAAAGAAAAAGAAAAGAAAGAAAAGGAAAATAAATAGGCGAATGGGAGGAAAAAATAGCAAAACAAAAAACAAAAATGAAAAATAAAAAGAGGGGTTTATTGACGCTCGTGCGTTAAGTTAGGGGTAGAGACCGATCTGGCCGGCGTTCTCTGAAGGCTGTGACGTTGTTTTGGGGTTTGGCGACTTCTCGGCTTGGCAGCTGTCCCTGCATCATCCGGGGGCCGGCGGCGCTCCCCGTCTTGGCACCTGGCTCCCCTCTCCAGCTTCATCTTCTCTGTTTTTTTTTTTTCTTCCTTTTTTTTTATTTTTTTTTTATCATTTACAGATTGAGTCAAACGTTTTTTAAACCACATGCTGCTTTTTCTGGGCTCCAGCCAGATCTCGGGGAGGAGTTGTTGGCAGTGGTGACGGGGCTGGGGAGGGTCTGCACTGCCCTCAGGTTCCCCGCACAGGACGTCTCGGGAAGGAACCACTGCAGGTTCTTTTCATGTCTTCCGAACCCCTCCCCAGAAAGCCCAGGAGTCTGTAATGAGACGAGACACCAAGGAGGAAGACCCAGGATCATCTTCTTCCCAGAGTCATGACAGGAGGCCAGTCCACGTGTCTAGGGGACATACGTCCCCACACGCCACCCCACCAGTCCGTACTGGGACGTTCTCAGAGGTGCAGCGCCGAGACCCTGCCCTGGTCCTCCCCTCCTCCTCCCTCCTGTCACCTCCGGGCCAGGGAGCCAGGCCCCCAAAGAGGAGCAGGGAGAGGAGGAGCCCACAGAGCTGGCGCCGCGCGCTGCTGTCGGGGTGACAGTGACTACTGGGCCCTCAGAGCGTTGCCTGGAGGTTGGGGTCCAGGATGGTTTCTCGATCGGGAGACTCGATGTAATTGGCAGCTTCCTGAAGTTTCAGCAGCATGGCCATCTAAAAAGGGGCGAAAAGATGGATCAGTACGGGTTGGGGTTCAGGGAAGCGTACAAACTCCAGATGGGGGCTTGTGAGCTCAGAGCACAGAGGTCGTTGGTGGAGGAGCTGCCTCAACTCGGCTACCCTGCCTGGAGCGTGCGCTGCGCACGGGCTACGCTGCGACGTGTGGGGGATGACAGACAGGACAAGACCCGTGTGCCGGCAAGGTGCCCCCTCAGGTACAGAACAGAAGGCCAGGGCGTGCCAGCCAGTGCCGGGAGGGCCGTGCCAAGTGCCACGAGGTCGTCAGCCCACAACAGGGCCCGTGTCCCCCCGGCTCACATACCCACTGCCCACGTCACGCCGGAGCCCGTCAGTGCAGTCACCCTCCCCTCTCGCTTTCCGGTGCCGCTAGCCACCCTCCATGTCAGCTGGGCCCGGTTGAGCCTCTAATTCAACCTGCCTTGCACGTTTTTACACAGATAACATCTGTTTTCAACAACGTTCGCATTTAAATAAAAATGTATAATGACTAAAGCAGAAGAATTTCCTACTTGAAAGGGAAAACTTGAGGGTGACAGGATTTGTGCATGTCAGCTTTCCACCGACGCTGCTAACGGAACCTGAGGACGGCGTCACGCGTGAGGGCCCCGAAGTCTCGGCTTCCACATGCGCTATTTTGGCCAAAGCGAACCGGTATCTCCTCGTTTTAATATGTTTTTCCTCAACTACTGGAGAGGTTAGGGATCTTTTAATGTTCTTACTGGCCATTTGCATCCCTGTGGTGAAACGCCTGTTCATACCCTTTGTTCACTCTCCCGTTTGGAAGTGTTTGGGGGATTTTGTATATTTTAGGTGCTCATCCTCTTTTGGTTATGGGCACTGCTCCTATTCCCCGGGTTTGTCACTCGAGTCTGCCTGCTTTCTGCAGGGGCCCGTGAAACCCGGGGGACTGAAGCCCTGTCAGGACACTGGCGATAGGACAGGTGGCGGGAGACACATGCTAAGGTATTCTGCTGCTCTACCTGTCTGCCTGGTATTCCCACCTGGGGTCTGCCGGATGCCCTGGGTCCAGCTGGCACGCATCCTCACTTTGCTGAAGCCAGGTCCAGGCCTACGGTCTGAACGACGCAGGATTCTGACACTCAGAGCCCCTCGTGGGCCTCCCCGTCGTCCCCCCCAGCCCCTCTTCAGTCTCAACCTTCCTGATACTGTCCAGGTACCCCCATCAGGGCACGTGAGGCATGAAGACTTCCAATTCTGCAACTCTCTTACTCCTATGTGACAAGGGCTCCCACTCACCAGAGGGTCTGAGTCCAGAGAACTTGGGGTGCAGTCTTTGACTGTTCTGTCCTCAGGGGGTGAGGCGATGCTGTGAGGGCCCACGGTGGGGGGCGGCAGGTGGTACAGCTTTGACTGGTCCTGTTGGGCCGACGGCCAGGGAAGAGTGTCCCGGACCCACTCCACTGGGTCCTCCCAGGCGGCTTTCTGTCCGTGTACCTGGAGACGAGGAGACGTGGGTTACGGGAGAGGCACCCAGGCCAGTGGCTTGCTCAGGTAGCTTCCTGGTGGCGGCCGTGCTGCCTCAGGTGTACACCCTGAGGCTCTGAACCCATGGAATTTCCCCCCACTTTCTAACAGGGGAAAAACGTTGATGTAAACAGATAAAACCATTTTGTGTTAAAACTTAACACGTACAAATCTTAGGACCCCACAATTTTACTCTTCAAGTAGGAGATTCTTCCTTTTTGGCAATAATACCTTTAAAAATTGTTTTGACTTTGTTGAAAACAGATGTTATCTGTACAAAAATGCTTTTAAGTTGGAAAACTGTTCACAATCAAAATGAAATGAGACAGTGACTTCTGGCATCAGCCTGACAAGATAACACCATCAGGAGGCACCTGTCACAACCACCAGTCACTTTCACGGACGGTGCACGGCCAGCAGGTCCAGTCGTCACGCCTGGACCTGATGGCCTGGACGGATGTGACCGGTCACCCAAGTTACTGGTGACAAAACCTAGGTGGCTTTAAAAAATGACATACATCTTCCTTTTGTACAGAGCTCTTAGTCTAAGATTTAAAAATCCTGTCACGTATTTCTTGTGTCTTTAAAACAACCTGGTGGTTTAGGCAAAATCTATCATGTCCTTTTTCAGGTGAGGATATTAAGAAGGTTAAGTAGCTCAGCCAAGTGTCACCCTACTAGCCATCAGCTAAGGCTGTGACAGGGTTGATTTCATTCTTAGCTCATTTCTGTCTCTATTTGCTCTGATCCCTACAGTGGTCCGAGTCCAGCTGAATGCCTGGCCCCGGGGGCAGGGGTCAGGAGGCCATCGGCTGAATGGTGATGCAGGCAGCAACGCAGCCTCGTCTGCCCAGCGCTTTCCTCACTGCGCCGTGAGGGAGAACCCAGCTGGCCCCGGAGCCCGTGTGCAACACTGAGGAGGGCCAGCCTGGCCGTGGGGACCGCGCCCGCAGGGCGGCTCACCTTGATCCCGTCCTTGGCGCCTTCCTGCAGGTACGGGATGATGGAATTGTTCCACAGGTCGATGAACCAGGTCCGGAAGTCCTCAATGCCGATGGGACAGGACAGGAAGAAGCAGGGGCCTGCGGGAGGGCGGAGGCCGTGAAGGCGGCTGAGAGGGGCTTCTGCAGCTCCCTCCAGCAGGCACAGGGCTCCGATAACCACGGGGTCAGGGACATTCAGGTGCGGCAAGCCTGGGAGAGCTGCAGACGGCGGCGCCGTCCCCCACTTCGCAAGGGGGAGTGAGGTGCGGGGTGGGGGCCGGCTGACGCCCCCCAGTGCTCCATCCCCTTTTCCACTAACTGGGACACCCGAGGGAGGGGCTCGCTTCCTGAGCTCGAGGTTTGCCTGTGTCGTGGTGCTGACGGCGCTGGGAATGCTGTGGGGTCACTGAGTGGCTCTAAGTCTGCACCCAGAGGGAAGGAGGTGCCCACAGATGGCCGAGCGGGACGGGCTGGCCGGTACCTATGAGGAAGTCCGAGGTGCTGTGCTTCTCCAGGAAGGTGTGCAGGTGGTACCAGAGCTTGGGCACCCAGTCAAGCACCCGCAGCAGCTCTTCCCTGTTTGCATTGACGTCGCTGTCTGACTCCACCAGCTTCCGCCTCAGGTAGCGCACCAGGAAGCCGTTGGCTGGCTCCACGTTGTTGGAGAAGGTGAGCATCCTGCCACCGTGGATGGAAGTGGGGTCAGGGTGGCCAGGGGATGTCGTCGGGGACCGTTCCTCCTCCTGCCTGCCTCCCACAGAGGCCTGCTGGCTTTCCTCTCAAGTCACAGTGGGCTCAGCTGAACTCAGGGCAGCAGCCCTGGGCGGGCAGAGCTGGTTCTCAAACCAGGGACTCTCTTCAGATCAGGCCTCACTGACCTCACTGACCAGACCGAGGGGCGTGCGGGCAGAGAACTGGAGTTCCAGCTGCGTCTGAGCTCTGCTGACCCCTCCCTTTCCAGCCCAGAAGGCTCTGGCTGGTTCTTTGCCACTATCTACTGCTGACGGGCCAGATCCGGGCACGCAACTGTTTATAGACCCTCGGAAGTTTCACCCAGGGCCGTGGTTCTCACCTGAAGCTCAAGTGCAAGCCGTGGTTGGGTGTCATCTTCACAGGCTGGTTGGTGGTGCCTATGATATAGGGGCTGTGGGCAGAAAGAGGATAAGCCTTTACTGAGGCACGTCGTAACGTCGTAACGCTTGCGTTCTGCCACACACACCTGACGGACGGGACCGGCCTCACCCTCTTCCCGCCGTGACAAGCCTGCTCACCATTTGTGGTACTTGCAGGTGAGGGCCCCGTTGACCAGCTCGCTGATGGAGCCGGCCTCACTCAGGTCGTCCAGCAGGATCACCAGGGGCACATCCCCGATTCCCGTCTCCCGGTCGATCTGGTTGGCCAGGTTGGAGAGGTACAGCTGCAGATCCTGAAATAAAAATGGCAGGAGATCAGCACTCAGCAGTCGTGGGCACATGGTCAGCCTGGGCCAGAAGGGATTTCCCTGGGGCCTCTGGTCTCCGTTGGATGCGCTTGGACACCCGACTGTAGAAGCACCCTCCCAAACAGTGGTCCCAAGGGTTCTAAAGCTACCCTCTCGAGCAGTGGTCCCTAAGCCTCCCTCCCCCAGGTGGGGAACACTGTTCCCTAAAGGGACCTTCTTTGGGCTGGTACCATGAACTCTCTCAGTGGACCTGCCTCACCATCTGGGAAAACCAACACGTGAACCAACCCCACTGTGTTAGGGTGTGCTGCTCAGAGGCAGCAGGGGACCACACAGTATGCGACACTTAATTCGGAGTGCTTCTTCCCAGAAAGCCCAAAGTCAGAGAGTAAAACTGAAAAGAAAGTTAACGGGGAGAAAAATGAGGGGACGGGGTTGGCAGAGAGTGAGGTGGTTGTGAAAACAGTGTGGTTTAGACGACGATCAGGTGCGGGGAAAGGCACTGGACGGAGAGGGCAGGGCCAGAGTCTAGAGAGAAGAGTGGAGAGGGGGATGCGATGGGGAGAGAGGAGAGGGAGGAAGATTAAGGCAGAGGGAGAGGAAGAAGAACAGGAGGCTGGGAGGGGCCGGGCCGAGGCCCTGGAACAGCCGGGCAGGGGTCCCGGGAGGCAGCCACCTTGCAAGACTGCTGGTGCATGTTGAAGGTGCTGACGATGCCCTCGGTGACCTCGCGGCCGGAGCGCTCCACCAGGTACTCCGCCAGCCGGTTGGTCAGGTAGGTCTTGCCGGTGCCGCTGGGGCCCGAGAGGACCAGGCGCCGGTGCTTGAGCAGGAGGCTGATGTAGTGTTGCATCATGGGCTTGGGGATCAGCGTCTCGAACACCAGGCTGTCCACACACTTCTCCTTTAGACCTGCACCCCAGCCCCAGAGAGTGTGAGTGTCGGCGGGGCCCTGAGGATGACAAGGGACCCTGAGGGCGTTTCCTTCTTCCACCAGGAGCCCGCCAAAAAACTCAGAGCCACGTGCCCAGGGTCCACAGGACTCCCCTAACCTGAGGGATAGGCGGTGAGCTACGGGTGCGTGGGTGGGCTGGGCAGAAATTTCCCTGTGACCAACTATGTCCCTGGGAACAGAAGTCACGAGGGTCTTATCCTTTTATGTCTCATTTTACGGTCATCCTCGTTCTCTGTGGGGGTCTGGTTCCTGGGGATACCGAAATCCGAGGCAGTCCATGCCCCTTACGTAAATGGCAGAGTATCTGCATGTAACCTGTGCACACCCTCTCTCTGGACTTGAACTCATCTCTAGATACTTGCAATACCTGATACAATGTAAATGCTGTGTAAACAGTTACACTGTATCATTTAGGGAATAATGACTGTCATGTTGCCATCATAGTGGTTGTGTGCATCTGCAACAATGTAACACTTAAAGGACACTTTGCATCCGGGTGGGAGCCTGTGAGGATGGCCCGCCAGCTATTAACGGTGGAGGTTCTCTTAGCTGCTGCATGGATCCCTGGGGGTTCTCTGACAGACCCCGCCCCCCTGTCCCTTCACCCCAGAAGACAGAAGCTGACCTTTGAGGGAGACCAACACGTTATTGACACCTCGGCGGCAGGGAGGCATCTCAGGGGGCTCTGCATCCAGCACGCGTCTCACGTGGCTGATGCTGTAGCCGTGGATGGAGTCGGTGCTAAGGCCCAGGGTTGACGCTGGGTCCATCTTAGAAATGTAGTCCTGACAGGAGAGCAGGGAGTGGAGAGGTGGTGAGGGACACCAGGGAGACACACACACACGGCCAAGCCCGAGAGGGGAGCAAGCGGACGGACAGGAAGGAGCGCGTTTTCCCGCCTCGGCAGCTGTCCGGGAGGGGGGGCAGGTTCCCACGATCCTGGTGTCTGCACGGGAGCAGCTGTGGAGGAGGGGCTGCCCCTGTGCGAACACGGGGCCCCGTACCTTGAACACCTGGAAAACAGCTTCATCCAGCATCTTCCAGTCCACCTTCCCACTGACCTTGCTGCAGCCCAGAAAGAACTCCTGCTGCTTCAGGTCCTGTGAGGCCAAAGGGGAGCCTGTGAACCCGCGGGCACACGGCGCCCAGGAGCTGGCGCTGCTCTGGGGGCGCTCAGGGCGGGTGGCCTGCGTCCGAGTGAGTGCCGCCGGCCCTCCCGCAGGTCCTTACCCCTCTGATGATGTGCTGGGGGGGCAGCCGCACCACCACGCGAAGGGTGACCTCCTCCTTGGGGCCACCGGAGCTGATGCCATCCATGGGCGACAGGTCTGCAGGCGGGGACAAGGGCTGTTGGCTTTAGGGCACCCACAGGCTTTCCTACCCCGTCGCTGTCCTTCCCAAATAATTCTTTATGTGTCGCAGAGAAGCAACAGAAGCCCCAGACGGGACAGCAGTCGGGGCCGAAGGAACATAACAACGCTTCGTGTCCCATGATACTGGCGTCCACTGGGTTTAGGCACTGTCACCTCCCTGGCCCAGGGAAGATGCCACCGGAGCACGTGGAATGGTGTGGCGGTGGACCAAACCCTCTGCTCCTCTTCTCCCAGATAGGTACCTGTGTCTGTGAGACTTGGGCTGAAGGAGTGGGTGAGAGCGAGGCCCAGCGAGCGGCGAGGTGATGACAATGCGGATGACCCAGGGGCCTGCCCTGGGGGGGCGCCTGACGAGGGGCCCGGGGCGACCTTCAGCCGGTCGTTCTCTGCTTTCAGCAGGTCCACCTCCAGCTGTGGCCAGAACAGACAGGGTAGGG